CTTCTACTTCTACTACTTCTTCTACTACTACTACTACTACTACTACTACGATTACTTCTACTACCACTACTGATACTACTACTGCTACTACACTGCTACTACTACTACTACTACTACTACTACTACTACTACTAGTAGTAGTAGTAGTAGTAGTAGTTCCTGAGTTCCTGCTGCTACTTCTACTTCTACTACTACTACTACTACCACTACTACTGCTGCTTCTACTCCTACTAGAACTTGCAGTGAGGTTTGTGAAGATTGATATGAGAGGCTACAACTCAAATCGAGGCACTGCTGTCACAGGCCCAGAGGTGCACCAATCCTTCCAGCACCTCGCGGCAGAACGAGCTGAGCTGCCGTGCTTTTGGGTTTACGCTCTCGCAACTCGGACTCAGCCAGAACGGTTCAGGGAAAACCTGCCTGCTTTCGTCGGACTTTCAAAACTTCGCAAACCGGGCGAGGGTTGAAGGCGTAGACTTGGGTTTGCAACCTTTATGCGCCACCCCATGAGAGACAAGCAACACACGCGAATCCACGCTGTGACAATTTGAGATGGGGCCGGGGTCATTTCGCAGTGTGCTCCCACCACTGATTCGGGCTTGCGGCTGTCAAGCTGCCAAGCTTTGTGATGCAGCCGCAGCAAGGACGGGGCTTGGAGCTCTGGCAACAATGAGCATAGCACAAACTCATTCGGGGTTTAAGACTTAGAGTAGCGTTTTGAGTTTAAGTCCGCAAGCCCAACTCAACTCAACGCTACATCCAAACTGAATCCTACACCCCCCAAAGGCCCACCTCTCTCATAGAGGCATCCAGGCACTTTCCCCCAGTGTGCCGGATTAAGCCTGTGCTCTCGTCGTAGGCCTCAGCCGCAGGTGCAGGCTTCGAGATTCTAAGTTCTCGCGGGCTTTAGGGCCACAGCTTCTAGCGCCGTGGGTGTTAGATTCTGATACAAGCAGGAGATAGCAGGAGATAACCAATTTCGGGTTAAAGGAACATGGATGTGAGTCTTGGGCTTCGGTGGGACAGTGCGGATCCCCCCCCACGATGTCAACTTCGCCCCATCAAGTCAGGATCATTGGATAAGACCTGTAGATTGCTGACCGTCAGAAGGTCGTGCCTGACAGGGTGCCTCACGTCACATCACGTATCATTCCTGAATTTTCTTGCGTGTTTTCACGTGAGGGTCTTGAGGTCAGGGCATGGTCTTGAAACGTGATAACAGTCTGCCGGGGTTGCTTTGTGCTCGGGCCTCTGAAGAAGCCGCGCCAGTGAGAAGACGAGAATGATACTAATATCGAGTCCAGCAGCGAGGTCGCTCTTCTACAGGAAAGTCTTGCAATCCCGGGTCTGACAAACGACAGCACTCAGAACAACAGCTTGACGTTTCCCAAGTTGTCCTTTAAGCCCTTTGAAAATTATTTACTATTATGGTTCTCCACAAAATAGTAAGGGAAATGAAAAAAGATCCCAAAAGACCACCCAGTTTCTTATGCTTACGCACCTCCAAGACTGAATCGTGAAGCCAACCTTAGAAAGTGCACCGCCCAAGCACCCACTTCTGCAAGAAGTTGTCTTCATCACAGACTGCCATGGTGGGGCGTATGCCATTCATCCTTGGCGGCTACCAGCCCTGCTTCGAGCACGTTGGGAAGAGTAAGACGTGAACTAACATCGCGCTTTGCCACTGCAGCATTTGGGGCTGCAAAACCCTCTGGATTTCGGCACTGATTGTGTGGGACTTCGCTGGCTTGGTGGCGTTCGGGGTCATGCGTCAAGAGTTCAGCAAACCTACCGATGCACTGACAAATGCGAAATTCAGAATCTGTTTCTGATCCCGCACTCATGGCAGGACACAATCCCTTTTCTGAGTCAGCGAGGTTGCAGTATATAACGGTATAGTATATCAGTATATCAGTATATCAGTATATCATACGACACTATACTATACTTATATGCCGTATATTTATGTATGGTTGCACGAGCACGAACACTTGACAAACTGAACGTAGACCCGAACAGTGCAGGAGACTCACCAGCCGGGAAGCGGAGCATCCACCGCCATGAGGCAATTGCCATCTTCCTAAGCTTTTGCTGCACTGTAGACTCTCGCAACTCGGGCAATGCAGGCGAGGATGTTTTCAGACCGCAACTCGGTTTAGGGTTCAGGGTTTTTGGCGCTGACACTCGGACAATCCAGACGAGGCATGTGGTCTTGTGAGGGTTTAGGGATTCGGGTTTTGATACTACAGGTGCCCAAAGCCCAAGATGAAGCCCTGCGGACTGACAACAGGATTGTATTTTGGAGCTGCCCCCTGCGGCTTGGGCCGCGCCTTGCTAAATGATGATGGTTCTCCTAATCATCAACGAGTCGTAAGATACAAGCTTCAATCTGTGAATTTAAACGAGACCCTGCAATCCCTCGATACTGAACTCTAACTCTGCACACATCATTCAACCAACCGTTTGTAAAGCCTTTCTTGCAGCCAGCCTACCCTTGAACCTAATCTTTAAGATCCAACCAGAGAGCCCACAGTCAAGAATCTTTCTTCAACCAGTAGCCCAAAGGGCAACAACACCATGCAGGGAAAGGCAAGGAGCGTTTTCAAGAAGGACGAAGTCACTCGAGGGTTCCGGAGCTGGCGCCTGCTGCAGAAGATGCTAAAGACTTCTACTTCCACCAGGCGAGATATAGTTGGCCTTTTATGATATATAGTCGTACCGGATGTTTATACATTTATACACATACACACATAATCACACATATAGACTGCTGGAGAGGTTGTAAGTATAAAATACACGACGCTTGCAAGCAGCAGCAATGATAGTAGCAGCAGTAGTCGTAGTAGTCGTCGTCACAGTAAAAGTAGTATAATGGGAGTAGCAGTAGCAGTAGCAGTAGCAGTAGTAGTAGTAGTAGTAGTAGTAGTAGTAGTAGTAGTGGTAGCAGCAGCAGTGGTGGTGGTAGTAGTGGCAATAGTAGTGCTACTGCTGTCGCTTTGTGTTCGTGCTGATGCTAAAGCTATAGGAGGTCCCGTATAGATGGCATATGGTTTTCGGAAAGATAAGATGGCAAAAGGGGGGGGGTCAACACATGGATTTCCGCAACCTCCGTGGACGCTCAAACCGGCAGAAAAGATGGCGTCCAATCGCAAACGATTTTTGGGACCTCCCGTGGACCCTCAAACCGGCAGAAAATATGGCACACAAACGCAGTGCATATTTCCCTCTCGGTGACTCCTTTACCGCAGCATCCTTTGCTCGAAACCTGGCACTACCCAGGGTCAGCCTGCAGCTATGCATAAGCCTTCGAAAGGGAAAGAAGAACCACGACGAAGAAGAGGGAAGGAGGGGGTGGGACAGCAACGCACACCCCAAAACCCCAAACCAGAGAGGGCAGGGGCGGGTGTGTCCGCAAATTATGCCCGCAAAACCCAAAACCCATGCCCCTCATTCCAAACCCAGCCTCAAGTCCAAAAGCTCACACCCTGCTGCCTACATCTTTGCAGCCTCCTACCCCAAACCCCAAACCCCGAGCGAATAGATGGCACATCTGGGAAGGTTAACGGAGAGGAAGCAGGAAAGAAGACACGAGACAAGGAGAGAAGACCAGGAAGAGGAGGGAAGGAGAAGGTGTGACCGCAACCTGTGCCCCGAAAACCCGAAATCCATGTCCTTCAAAGACAATACGCAGTCTCCAAATCCAACCTCAAGCGCAGCAGCTCACACCACGCACCCTACATCTTTGCAGCCTTCCTACCCCGATCAAACGCCAAATCCTAAGCAATTTGATGGCGCATCCCTCTCGACCTTTCAATGCGGGGTTTCCTGTCCGTATATGACGGGGTTTGGGCCATTCTAAAGTGAGGGGCGGTAACCCCGCGCATCGCACGAAAAGTTTTTTGGGAAACGGCGAAGGGGCATACCCCAATAACTGTGGGTTTTGGGATGCCACCCACCCCATTTTCATGAAGCAGTGACCTGCACTCTGCTCAGACATCATGAGCCTGAACCCCAAGCGCCGTGTGTGCCATCTATTGTTGCACCCGTAATTCTACGAAATTTGGATGCAATCTTTAAGCCACCCTTGCGGCAACTAACATGGATTTCTGTCGTTTTTTTCCAGCAGCCTTGGGCCAATCAATCTCTCGACAATTCTGTCTAGTGTCGAATGTTCACATGCCATCTATTGGACCGGTAATTCCACGGAATTTGGACGAAAGCTTTGAGCCACCTTTGCGGCCATTAAGATGGCGGTTTGTTGTCCTTTTGCTCGAGCCATCTTTTCGGGGACTACTATAGTGCCAGTAGTCATACAGTAGTAGTCCTCGTGGTGGTAGTTGTCGTAGCTGCACAGCTCAAGCAGCAGGAGCAGCGGCAGTGGTTGTAGCTGTGCAAGGAGCTGTAGTTTTGGATGCTGTTGTTGTCGTTGTTGATGTTGTTGGCCCAGTAGCGGTTGTTGTTGTTGTTGCTGTTGCTGTCGTTGTCGTTGTGGTTGTTGTTGGTGGTGGTGCGATACCGGCGGTAGCAATCGCAGCAGCATCAGCAGCAGCAGCAGCGGACGGCTGACTTGACGGCGACAGCCACCTCCTGCGGCCGACTGCAGCGACTCAAACCAGATAGTTCTTCGGAGCACCGGGCCTTCTGAACAGACTCGCGCACGTGCACCTCGGCGGATGCAACGATCTCACTAACCTCCCTGTCAGCCCTTTTCGAGAGGTCGATTAAGAAGGATGCTGTTGTCTACGAATGTACTGCTTTCCGGAAGCCCCATGTATGAGGAGGACTGTCCGACAATCACGTTACATCTGCTCAGCCGTTTGAGGTCAGAAGGCCCGGATGGATCAAGCTTTCCCGGCTGCAAGTTGCAGTTCAGTCTGAGTTCACCTAACAGTACTTCCCATCATCACTGGCCAAGTCGAGTGTAGGAATTGTGCAGCCAAGTGGCCTGCAGGAGAGTTGGGCCCTGATTTCGAGCCTCGCAGGCATCGCAACTAAGCCGCTTAGCTTCCCGGTGCCGAAGCCGTCAACCGGTGGATCCAATGGGAAAAACTCCGATGCGGCTTAATATAGTCGCTTCCATACCTCTTGTGTGCACCCAGGTCTCTGCAAAACCGGGTAAGCCTGGAACCCGACACCCGCAGTGCATGCCTTGCAGTGTGCCTGGCCGCGCGTGCATTGGGCAATGGCCTTCGCAAACGGCACGGGCAACAGGGCTCGGAGTTCTCAGCGTCGACAAACCGCCGTGGTGGTGGCGGTGGTGCTGCTGCTGCTGCTGCTGTTCTCTGTTGTCGTTGTCGGCGTGTCGGCAGGTGTTGATGTGATGCTAGTGCTAGCGATTGCTGTGGCAATAATTGCGTGGTAAGGCTACGAACAACACAAGTTTCGATCCAGCAATTTGACCCGTCTTACCGTGGCACCTCTTTCGGAGTAGACAGAATATCAAAATGGTTCGTGGCCGGGTCATCGGAGTTCTCTCTTGGTTTTTAAGTTGTACTACACCAAGTGGTTTAAACTCGGACGTACTAGGCCGTACTGCATGTACACCGGTAGTACACAACCTGGCCAGTTCACCATCTTCTTACGTCGTCTTCATCTTAATCATCAGCATCATCATCACCATCCTCACACTTCATCATCCTGCTCATCACCACCAGAAACACTTCGCCGCAGGCCCCCCTCAGCAAGGCACCTGAAGGAGGAAGCAGCTTGCAGCAAGAGCCAATCGTCCGACCATTATGTCGGGATCCAGGCTCAATGCCGCCGCAAAGAAAACTAAATGAAGTTGAAACTTTTTGTAAGTTTCATAAGCAGAACTTAGTTGAGCTCGAGCCCACGCGACATTCATGCTTGGCGAACAGGACATGGTGATAAACCGACGAAGATGACATCAACCTCCACCGGCTTTCTGCAAGAAGCGGTCTTGGATTGGAAACACAATGATGATGACACTTCTTGAGGCTACGGGAAATGGCAGACGACGAGGAACAGCTCGACTAACTCAGTTACAACCAATGTCAAAGTAATGTCAAGTAGGAGGTGGCAGGGGCTCACAATGACCACCATCGCAGTCGAAGAATCGAAACCCCGCACGATATCAGAGAGCATACAGCACCTTTTCCTATGGCTGGCGCAGCTCGGATGCCGCGGAAAACTGCTCATGCGGTCGGCAGGGCCCCGCTCCTCCGACGGTATCGTGCTAGCGGTGTGGTAACATGTGGTAACAGTCTGCTTCGACCCTTTCGGTTTGGGAAGGAGAGTCGCTCCCACGACAGTGGGCTTTTTGCCATTCTGCATAATAATCGATACACCCTTTTTTCACAAAGACCGCGTGCAGTCCTGGTCTTCGCCCATCATGATTTCAGGGAGAAGGTCGGCAAACCACTCACCTGACAAGGGCAGCGTCACCAGGCTCCTGAACAGCATCATCTGAGCACAGGTAAATTGAGTAGTTACAACCCAGGGCCTCCGAGGGAGGTTGCTCGAACACTGGAGGCAGCGGCCCCGGGGAGGGCCTCAGAGCAGACTTGCGCAAAGAGCTTCGGCGCCTGCTGTCAGAACCGATGTGCAGTGCTCATGACTCGAAACAGCTTTCCATGATACTGGTCATGGAGCTACCTCGGACGCATCGAAATTTCAACAACTTCACACAGCAAGCCTTCAATCAAACTTTCAACCCGTGATCACGATGCCCAGAGCTAGTTGCGAATGATACTTGTGACCTGAAAATTTTTAAAGGCTTAATGGCCACATGACCGAACTGTCCTGGACACTGGCCCACGACTGGTGACATGTATGGCCTAGATGGGCGAGGCGTCGAGCAAGAGCATCCACATGCGAAGTCCACATACCTAAAACCTGGCTATTCGGCTAGATTCAGTATATCCTGGCTATTCGGCTAGATTCAGTATATCCATGTGACTGGAGTCCAGTGCATCTTGGCGGCGGCGAGATTGTAATGATTCCTGCGAGGAGGAGCCCGAACACTGCCACCTTTCTTGCTGCTGACATCGCAGGGGCACGTAACGTAGGGGCCTTAATAGGTAGAATAGGGCTTTGGGGAATATTTATACTATAGAACCATTAACAAGGAGCCCCCAAAATAGCATGGAGAGCCTGAAGATGCAACCACAGAGGCTGTTCCGGCCACAACTGTCACAAAGTCCGGACCAGAGTCTTCGACCTGACGTTCGCTGCAGGTGAACCAAAATGGGAGCTAGGATTAGGGGGACCCTTGGGGATATAGACCCTCTCAATAAGCACTACCTACAAAAAACTCCTTATTTTAGATTAGAGCAACAGCTCATTGCAAGAGACCACACAGCCAGGTGAGTGGCCTGTGGCTGTGGCGGCTGCGCTGCTGCCTCCTTCTCTAGTAGGCGAGCTTCCCGCACGGCCTGCCCAAAGTGTACCGGCCATGCCACGCCCTACTAGAGCCGCGGACTCTCCAATCTGTCCACTTGCGCCTCGTCCCTCCAAGCCGCTGGCATCTCTGCCTCCTTGGTGTTGGTCCAATTGGGGGGCTTCCCCATGCAGGACTCAGGATTAGATGGGCTAAGCTTGTACGTTTGTCTGGAGTTGATCTTGAAACGTAATCTAGGATGCAGGGTTGTACATTTGCAGCCAAAAGGCACCCCACGGCCTTCGCGTCCCACGTTCCAGGACAGCCTGCCTGGGCCCACAGGCAATTGCACAGTGCTGTGGGCTCCAGCTGCTCTAGGCGGAACCAACACGAGATGCAGAGCGCATCAAAGAACACCAGTATAGCTCCATTTCCTGTTTCTGCGAACCGGCGCATGTCCTCGGACATCAGTGAGACTGGCCGTCGGCTGAGCAACAAACACGCAGAGGGCGTCTGAGGCGATGATGGTGTAAGCTGCAGAAGGCTGAAGATGAAGTGTCGGGTCGTGGACGCGCTATGCAGATGTATATACATTGGTATGCACCCCCAAATCCGAAATCCTAGACTCCTAGACCTGCATACTGCATATGCCCTCCTTGACAGTCTAAACTCATGTGAACTCGTGAGGTTAAGCTTAGAGCAACCGATGCCTGGTGTCATACACTTCTCGCAGATGCATGTAGTCAGGATTAGGTTCAACGCGCGAGTGCTGCTTCAGAGCTCACAGAAACGATGCTGCGTTGGCATTGCGTCTCTGGATCGGAGGGGCACCGAGGAGGCACCTCAGAGATCAGAGAGGCGGATATATCCTGCGCAATGTGGATTGATTGTTTCTTTTTGTTGAAGCCATGTTTCGGGAGTATATTCGTGTATGCATGATTACATACTTGTACGCCCTACAACTGCAGGATCTCAGCACAAGTGCAGGAATGTGGGCCAGCAGCATGATAGTATGTTCTATATGTTCTATCTAGCTGGGCCCAACAGTGCGGATGCTGTGGGTTGGCGAAGGTATGCATGGCTGGGGGGCGGTTCCATAATCTTTGCCAGTGCCGTGGAGGCGCATGGATGTGGGCATCGCGGAAGCCATGATCATGGTTCGAACTTCTTCCGCCATTCGCACCAGGTCCTGGCAGGTATGCAGCTGCTCAATTCTCAAACGTCCGACCCGACGTGTATCGAGACAAAAAATCTTGACTGGTAGACATCACAACTTCATCTTTACAGCTAGTACTCGCCACGAAAGTCACGAAAGGCTTAAAGCATTCATTGCACCCCACCTGCAGTCATCCAGGCCCCGAAGGAATGCAACTTGATGAACTCATTTGAAGCCTCAGCCCTCTCGAACCCCGTTTTTTGGGATGCCTTCGCACCAGCGACCATTTCCTTCTTCGCCATATCCTCGGCGCGGTGGAGATTGGACACCACCTGGGAGGACAGCTGTTCTTCGGGCTGAGATACTGGTGCTTCTTGATGGGGGGCTGTCTGTGTTTTGTTTTGTATGGGGGTTTGTTTGTTTGTTTAAGGTCTAGTTTATTGAGGCCTTTTCTGGGTCTGCTTTATATTCCAATCTCCGAGTTGAAACCCTCGGTTGCTGTAGGGGTGCAGCATGTGCGGCAGCACGCAACTGGAGTCGCCAAGGAGATCTGAAAGGTGCGCAAAACAGCAGTCAAGGATCGGGGCGCGGGACATACTAAGCAGAGTTACAGTAGAGCAACAGCTAGGCTAGCACATTACAATATATCATGATAGTATATGATTGTAGACTTTGACTATAATCGTAGATTATGATGTAATATAGTATCCCTGATATCAGGCCGACGGTTGACCCTGCAAGTTCCCCTCCATCCTCCAAGGATAGGCTGGCTGGTTAAGCGCCCGGCTGTACCAGAGAACTCGGAGACTTCTTCCGGCAAGCGGTTGCCTTTGTACTCGAACTGCCTGGCGTCAAGGGATGAGGTTGGCCAAGAAATCCCAAAAATGTCGGAGAGGTGGAACATGCTGAAGCCCAAACCCTTTTTTGCAGCAGGCTTCTCTCGCCCGGAACCCCAAACCCTAAACCCTGAACCCTAACCCCGAACCTGAAGCCATTTAGCCGCCTTTTGTGAGGACACTGGCAGTGGCAGCCGGCCTGTGCATCAGGTCATTGAAAGCCATCGCTTCGTTGGCGGAGTCATGTAGCCGGTCAATGATGGTGCCCACCTGCTCCTGCGAAGAAAGATGAGAAGCTGAGGGGTTTGCAGAAAGTGGCCTCTGGGCGATGGGAGCTGCTGCATGACTTTGCATGGGGCTGGAGTCCGACTGCGGTCGCACAGGCTCACCTGTTTGATCCTGTTTGAGTGTTTCAGTTACTCGCGCTGTCTTTCGCTCTTGTGGATTTAGCCCCTGTCGGCCTGCGTACCGGGCACATCCCGGACGGCTAGCGGCTAAAAACTGGCTATCTTAGCCAGTCGCTTCTCTTCGCGGCCTTTCTGCAACCTATACAGACCAATGAATGAGCGCGAGTCCCCTCAAGCACTTGACCCTCTTCCTTTTCAACCGACTTCAACCCACAAGCGAGGATTATTTTCACTTACCTCTAGATCGATTACATCGCTAGTGCACGCTCGCTCACTGTCGGTCTCTCTCTCTCTCTCTCTCTCTCTCTCTCTCTTTCTTTCATTGGGCATGGGGGATGTTCTAGATCCCCCGGCCTAGTGGCCCCCATCTGTTACGGGGCTTTCAGGGGATGTGAGAGTCCTCCGGGTGTGGCCTGATTCACTATGATATCTAGAGCAGCATAGCGACTATAATCTCTCTCTCTCTCTCTCTCCCACGCTCTCATGCTGCGTCCTTTATGACGACCGAATCTTCCATCAGCTTGTCCATAGCTGCTTTGACGTCGCCCTCGCTTGCTCGCAGCTCTTTACACGAAACACAGGTGGATGATGGCAAGCTTACAACAAGGCGATAGGGTTGTCATAGGCTTTTGCCGGTCCTACGTAGCAGGCAAGTTCATGTCCTGAAACCCCACCGCGAGTCCCTGCTGGCGCTGCACTACAAGTCTTTGCGCTGATCCGAGCAACCCTTTATGAAAACATGACCAGCAGCTCACGCAAGCTGCGATCAGAATTTAACAGCACCCGGGCCCCGTTGAACAACCCGACCTCGTGGCCCGGTATCTCGCACTTCATCTTCCCCAGCGCCTTGGGGACCAGCGCCTGTGAAGCGAGGTATGCTTTGATGGTGCCGGCAGCCTTCCTGACCATATGTTGCGATGGGTTGAAATCAATCGCGAACCCCATGGCAAAGTATGTATGTCAACACTTTTTTGCCACTTTTGACATGCACTGTAGCTTCTAGCCTGCTGAAGCGTCTGCGGAAGTGCC